TACCTTGAAGTGTAAACTTGTTTAATAAACCATATCTTTCATTTTCGATTTTTAATTCACGTAGTCCGGGAACTTTCCGGACAAACTGTGTATTTGTCAGATCGTCTGCTGGTCTTGTCATCATTGGCCGGATCGTTCACTGAGTTTGCCTTCATTGACCGGAATGTGTTTCACACTAAGAACTTTAAGCGCTATTTTGCGTCTGTTGGAAGACGTTTAGCGAAAAATTACCTGGAACAAAATTTCCTTATTTTTTTCCATAGAATACGAATCTGCAACAAAACATAAAACTTTCCATCAAGAAAAATCAACCTGAGCCTTATTAGACTCAAAGTGAGCTTTGGATCCAAAATCTAAGTAGCTCATCATCTGATGGCCCTCTTCAAATCCTAAAACTTTTGTTTGAAACATTTTCTACAAAAGTGCGTTATTTTCGAAATATTTTGGTGTCTACGTTAAAACGACCAAACATGTTCCGGCTCAAGTTGGAACTAAATCCATAGGATTCTAAGATTTGACCATCTAAAATACCTATTTCAAACATGATTTCTCAACTGGTAACGATACTTTTTTTATATCACTTTGGCGATATAACATGTTTCTTTGTGAGTGCGAGCACGTGTAGGTTGTCGAAATTTAAAAGTGATGATTTTGACCTCAGCGACAAACCATGCTCTGGAAGATTCCAAAAGCTGAAATCTGACAATTTGCAAAAATTGCTAGATCAAGATGATTTCCAATCAAATGTAGAAGTTGCTAAACAGTTACAAGTTGATCATACAGAAAACGACCATTTACTGACATAGGACCTAGACCAATTATTCTTCTATATGACAATGCTCGTCTTTATGTGATTATTGCAACGCAGAAAACAATAATAAAACTTGAATGAGAAGGTTTACTTTACTCCGCATTTTCTCCAGATATTGCATCTTTTAATTTGTTCAGGTAGTTGCAATACACTTGATAATTGACACTTTCAAAATATAGAAGACATTCAAAATTGTATTGATAACTTCACTTTCAGACCTTAGAAATTCTTTTGATCCAGAATTCATCATCAATTACTTGATAAATAACGAGAGATAATAGAAAGTAAGAAAACATCTCTAATGAAGATTGAATACTTTGTATTTTTAATAATAAAAATTTGTAGTAAAAACACGTTGAAAATTTTTTTACACTTCTAATATAAAGAGAGACTATTCATATCCTACATATATTAATTTCAAAGTGTACAGAAAAAAAGTAGTATATCTGCTATTCATGATTTGCTAATCATGATTTGCTGAAACTGTATTTGGTTATTACATTCGCAGCTACAAAAAAGTATTATAACTGTTTCAAATATTTGTAAAGCTAACCTAATAACGAAATAATAATTGAATGAATAATGCGATCTTTTGTTTACAAGCAAACAACGTGCAATTTGACTGGCGTGAACATTGATCCACAAAGATTTTTGTCAAAATCAGAAACTGCAAGTATATGTTTAATTATCTAAATTGAATGAAAAAGTCATTGAGAGAAGAGCACGATTGATTATAAATTACATAGTGTTTATTATGATCAAAAATATAATAACAAATTTTTCGACCAACAGATGAGATCAGTGCTAATATTAATATATAGATGTCATAGACAAATGTTGATCAGTTCTAATAGCCATAGTCAAATGATGTAAAATTGTGTCAAGCTCATTGTTATAAAATAATAAAAAAAATCAAATCAAAAATTAAAAAGCTTAAGAAACACTTCAGCTGTACACAGTCAAAACAGTTTGTGTATCTTTGGTATATCATATGCTCTCAGTAATAACGCGTCACTAAATTTGAAAAAATTTTTTGTATTATTATCTGTAAAATCCTTGAAATACCATCTATTCAAAATATCGCGTAAGTTGTTTTCAACAGAGTTAAGTCTTTGTTGATTAATATGTAAGTATTTTTGTCATTTAACATTTCATTCATTGTCTTGAAATAATTATTTTTGGAAATTGATACTGTAGTTTTGCCTTTGTCGGCTCGTGTAAATATCTGGATTATTTCTAATAAAGTTAGACACTGCTCTAGATTTAGACAATAAGTTGCGTTCATCTAATGGAAGTGGTGTATTGTCTGTCATGAAATGTGTAAAATAAGTCATAGTGTGATTTCTGATATCTGATTTGGTTGTCGAATTTTTTAGTGTGTTATTCAACATTTTTGGTAGTTTTCAAAATTACTTTATGTTTGTTTCGTCTGATGGGTAGTGTGAATCTGTCTCTAAATTGTAGGAGTTCAGAAATTTCTGACAAGATTGTTTTATTAGATAGATTGATAAAACCATTTGTCGTTAAGGCTGATATCATGAAGTGTTGCTTATTTGAATTGTTGTGATGTTATTTCAATTTTAATCGTGTCTTGTTGTGTGTCAAAATTGTGGAAACTAATTTTGTGGTTTGGATAATATTTAGTTCTGTTGTTCGGAATTATTGTGGTAGAATATTTAACGTCATTTTAGTAAAAAATGTAATTTGGTTTGATATTTAAAAAAAATTGTTTCTTAAGATTAAAATATTTTATGTAAGTTTGGTATATATAAAACTAGTGTCCACAATTTAGTTTCCACAATTTTGTGTGTGTGTGTGTATGTTTGTGTGTGCGTGTGCGTGTGCGCGCGCGCGTGTGTGTGTGTGTGTGTAAGTTCTTCCTCTACTTGTATTGCAGTCATGCCTGTGGTTTCAAGGAAAAAAGATAACGACTTGATCTATTCACATTCAGAATTAATCAAGCAAGGTTATCGTTGGTATCCAGTACGGTTGGTATCTTGGTTTGTAATTTAAGTTCTTTGCAAATTCGTAGATTAAAGTTTCTCGTTTAGTTACGTATCTAGATATGTCACATATCTACCCCACTAGCCAAATGATAGCAGTATGCCAGCAGTATGCACGCAGGTTTAATCAACATTTTGCAGCAGATTCCACTCAGCTGTGTCATCATAGTGAGTGGATTATGTAGGCACGATATGTAAAAAAAACAACACTAAAAATATAGAAATATGTAAAGAAAACAACAGTAAAAATATAGAAATAAATGAAGAATGAAATGACAATAGCACATTATGCTTCAAATCTGCTACATTTTTTAAACAAGTTCTGCTTGATTGATGCAATAATATTTGCATCACGGCATGATACATTTATATTCTTTTTTTTTTTTCTGTTTTTCTGTCAACACTAGTTGAAATAACAGATTATGTTTGAATACTGGCTACATTGTACTAGCATAATGTGTTCTTGCAGACTTTGCAAAATATGCTTAATCGGTCTTGGTTATCTGGGTAGATATAAAATTGCCAGGTACACTATGAACGTTATCCTGAGTCAATAAAAAAACGTCGTAGTCCGTAATTCAAAACCGATCTCATGAGACTGAACAATGCATTCAGACATTCAGCTCGAGTAGAATTTCCTGAAATCTTACGTGAGATGAGGACGAACACTGTCACGCAGTGATGTGTTTTCTAGTGTATTTGCTTCCTGAGAATTATATACCAAATATGTTATCAATTATTGCGGTGTCGTGACATTACATTATGTTTAATTTAATCTTTGTCTATCATCGTACGCTTTTTTTGTAGTGAGTCGGCAAATTTTTCTTGAATGTCAAATAATAAATTGTATGGTGACACGAGCCAATATTGTGATATGTATCAGGCATAAAGTTTTTTAATTGGTCATCGTTGAATTTGCCACGTTGAGAGAGAGAGAAAGAGAGAGAGAGAGAGAGAAAGAGAGAGAGAGAGAGAGAGAGAGAGAGAGAGAAAGAGAGAGTAAGAGAGAGAAAGAAAGAGAAAGTAAGAGAGAACGGAAGAGAGAAAGAAAAAGTGGAAGAAGAAAAGTGGGAGAGAAAAAAAAGAAAAAAAGAGATTGCTTGATTAGAGTGTTTTTTATACTTATAAAACGCTCTAGAAAAATTCTCTCTCATAAGTGCAAAAGACAATTATAAAATACAGAAAAAATTAAAAGTAAAATAGAAAAAATATATGAGTATAAACAATACAACAATAAAAAGAAAAAAATATGTAACTGTACAGTACAAAAAAAGAAAAATATGTGTGTGTGTGTGTAAATCAGCAAAAAAATCGCTTGCAATCAACAGAAACGGACAGTTTGGAGTCATGGACATCTATAAATTCTGCACACGTTTATTTTTTCAGTGCGTGCTGCGTCTTCTTCTCTGTTGACGTTTTTTTCGCGAACATTAAACGCGGCTTGGTAATTTACATTAGAGGGGACCGATTTTGATGACCTTGAAATATGTTGTTAAGGTCAACAGTCTGAATAACTTTTTCTCATACATATGACCGCCGTTCGGTTTTGTTTTCGAGATATTCACAAAAAACTTTAATTAAATTTATTATACAATTGCACTTCATTCTTCATGTTGTTCTTTTTGTTCGTGTTGTAAGCGTGTAAGCATGGAGAGTGCGCTCTTTTGTGGAAGGGGGAAGGGCAAAGTCCCCCTCTGCCTACACACTTACATGAACATAGTACGTAAATGTTTTTTTCTGAATGTTTACATTAATTACTGCTTTTACTTATATCAGTAGTTATACCAGTAGTTCAAAAATATATTCCAAGGTCAGACGTAGCCCGTCTCTGTATGCGCTTTGCCACCTAAGCGTGTACTTATAGTTTGTTATGAATATCTTGAAAAGCCGAGCGGCAGTCATATGTGTAAAGAAAAGTTGTTCAGAACGTTGACCTTGACAACATATTTCAAGGTCATCAAAATCAGTGAAGTTCCCTCTAATGTAAACAATTACCCGCAACTTTTTGATCGATCGATTGCAGGCAAAATAATCGCAGCGACATTTATTTCTTCTATTACTTCTTTATCTGTGCAGGTAATTAAATATCGAATAAATGTATTTCAAGAATCATATATGCGAGAAAGCTAGACGACGCGTGGCCAAAAAAACAGAAATAGCAAGTGTAATTAGAGCAAGATGTGAAAAGTCAACCTTCATATTTTCTTTTGTTTTGTCGTTTCATTGCTTTTGTGCAATCGTTTGCTATAGATAGAGTTTGTGTGTAATTTAACTTCTTATTAATTGCTACCTTTAGCCATACATATTTACGCTTTCGTACTTTTATAATACCAAAAAAAGGATTTGCAATTATACAGACATATTTTAGGAAATAGATGCAAAAACATTGATCTTTTCTGAAATATTTGTAGTTGTTT